TCTCCTTTTAAGTGTCAGTAGTAGACATTTTTAAAGTAGCACAATAAAAAAAATAAAAATCAGCTATGAAAATGGCTTTTTCATATTTACAGGCCGACTAAAGTAAACCACACAAACATGCATTTATGTTAATGCAACTTATGTTAATAATCGTTAACGTTCGTTAATGATCAGATCATTAAAAATTTGCTTCGTCTTTTTTCAATGTTTTCACAAAGTACAGTTTTGCATTTATTTCAGTGAAACAGTTAATCACGTTTAAAATAATGCACAACCTGATTGACTCATTTATCCTCTGCCAATTTAAAGTATTTACCAGTATTTACACAGTGAAGCGACGTCAATTCGGCATTATAGTGTTGTGACGTAAACAATGACGGCGAATATCGTTCGGATTATAGAAAATGGACGTTAAAATTTCGCTCAAATAATATAAATGTGATGAGCTGAATTTTTTATTGAAAATGGGTGTACATTTATTTAATACTTTTTACATATTACTTATACATCTATATATATAAAAATGAATTGCTGTTCGTTAGTCTCGCTAAAACTCGAGAACGGCTGGACCGATTTGGCTAATTTTGGTCTTGAATTATTTGTGGAGGTCCAAAGAAGGTTTAAAAGGTAGATAAATGAATGAAAATGCTTGGAATTAAATAAAAATAACAATTTTGTCTTTCCTTTGATGTGTCCCCCGTCGGACGGATTCCTTTTGTTCCTTTTAATTTTATTGACGTGACAACGTCTTATAATTCGATGGAGCCGGCTGCGCGCACGAAAAAACATGACTCGTGCGGCGTCACCTCGCTCTGAGGCGTTCCATTTAAGGCTTGAATTGCAAGAGAGAGCGCGCAACGAGCGACAAAGAGACACAATCGGCCTCCGCGTTCGGCAGCGTTCCACATCTGTCTCTCTCCTACTTCCTGCTATACAATAATACATTTACATGTTTTCGTCAAGTATGAAGTTCAGTGAAAAGTGAATGTGGTGTCAAATATACAAAATATCTATCAAACAAATAAAATTAAAATTTTCTTTTGAAAAATGAAACCTTTCCATCAGTATTTTCTTATTACGTTGTCACGTTCAGTAAACCGACTTTACAGACAACCGATTTTTTATACAAAAGTTTAGGTCATTTATTTATCGATTGAAGCACTACAAAGTCTGCTGGGTCCGCTAGTTAATAATAAAAGTCGTACTCTAATAAATTTCCAAGAATAAAACAATAAAATTTGAAGCTCGTAACGGCTAGTCTGATTGATCGTTTAAACTGTCGTGCGATGCGAACCTAAATCCAGATGAAAACTTTAAAATGAGCAGACATTTTAACCGGCCCACCGAGCGTAATTGCTGTAACAAGGGTGCTCTAACGTTATTTAGTCCGGTCGCATTAACGTCCCGCCGCTGTCACGTTGTGAACACTTCGCTTTTAATTATATTTATTTTTCAGCATAAGTTTTTTTTTATTGCTTAGATGAGTGGACGAGCTCACAGCCCACCTGGTGTTAAGTGGATACTGGAGCCCATATACATCTACAACGTAAATGCGCCACACACCTTGAGATATAAGTTCTAACGTCTCAGTACAGTTACAACGGCTGCCCCACCCTTCAAACCGAAACGCATTACTGCTTCACGGCAGGAATAGGCAGAGTGGTGGTACCTACCCGTGCGGACTCACTAGAGGTCCTACCACCAGTACATATTATATTATATTTATATATATTTAACAGGTTATAAAGTGATTGTGACGGGCAAAGTAGAAGGAAAGAGACCCCGCGGCCGATGACCTAGTCGTTGGTGTGATCAAATAACCGCCCTAATTGGGCTGCCAGTCGCAACCGCCATTCGGGAAGCTGAGGACCGGACGAGATGGAAACAGCTCACGAGACAGGCCACGGTCAAATTTCAGGGACACGACCTTCAACAATGAAGAAAGCGACGAAGAAGAACAGGTTATCGTCATAACAAAAATTAACAAACAAATTGATAGTAGGTACTCAGTCGAAGATTGTTCACTTTTCAAAGAATAAATTATAGTTAAGAAGATTGTACATCGTCTCCGCTTCAAAGTGTGGAAGAGCCGTTATAATATGATACTTTGGCCCCTTGTCGTATGAGGGTCGTGAACTTTTTCACAAATTTATACAAATAATACTAACAGCTCCGAAAAAATAAACCAACTTATTTTGCATTGATATTCCAATTTCTTTTAAAAGTCGATAACACATTAAATTGATTAACACTAATTTGATAATACGTAAATTGATTTCATTATTTTAAGTGATAATAATAATAATGGAATTGAACAATGAGTCGTTCTGGCCTGTCCGTTCACGGGACGAGACGTTTAAATTACGCTCAAGCGTTTTGCATCGCAGCATATAATTTCCCCGATCGAGTCAGAAATGGCTGCGCAACCAGCTGTCTGGACCGGCACTGACGGTAGAATAGTTGTCGACGCCCCTACCCTAGCTGTCAATCACGCAGATCGATTGGCGAGTTACGTGTAAATAATAGTTAGGCCTCGGATTACCGGTATGAGTAATCTTCGGGGCGACGTGGACATCACGCGTACGATTAGTCCCGTCTAAATTTAATTTTGGGGCAATCCTGTGGCTTTTCAAAAGATAGAGAATTGACAAATATGAAACGTAATGTGGTTCAGTTAAATGATAATATCAATGCATTTATTCATTAGCTTTAAAAATCAAGACGATTGTTGTGTTTAATTAAACTTTCTGATTTCGAGCACATGACAGTGGTAGACGATCCCACAGCTCTTAGAAGCCTCTATGTAGAAATGATGATACAAATGTGACCACATTTTTTATTTGTATACATATTTATAGATTTTTACTTATCAATGATAAGCAAAATATAAGATTTAGTTCATTTTCAAATATAAATATCCGTTACGTGAGTTATGATTTCAACGCTTCTATGCGCAGATGCTATGTCAATCTATATTGAAGTCCGGTTCGGAGATTGAATTCAACCATTCAAACAGACCAGATATGCACTGACAATGAAGTGCTTTGCAGTCCCAGCGAAGAGCGAATAGGATTGCATCCGCCCTCCGTTAAGACTCCTCGACATCGTGCAATCACTCGTAGTAGACATCTCGGTATCGTATACCGAACACTCAAGTATCGAGCATTTCGAGAGGTCCCGTAATGCGAACTAACGCACGCTGGATCGTTTGCCCGTAGAAGACCGAAATTCGATTAATGTTTGAGGTTCCCGCCACTCACGACGTTTCGAATTCACCGCGATTAATCGAATCGCAATTCCGTACACGGCCTCCACGTTTTCACAGGTCTTTCAAAGATACCTATTTGCATGAGTTAATTTTCTTCGCAACTTTACTCAACATTAAAAATTGTAAATAGAAATCGAACGATATGGAACATAGAAACAACCAACATAAATTATCTTTATCTATATATGTATAGGTATATATAAATGAATTGCTGTTCGTTAGTTTCGCTGAAACTCGAGAACGGCTGGACCGATTTGGCTAATTTTGGTCTTGAATAATTTGTGGAAGTCCAGAAAAGGTTTAAAATGTAGATAAATATGAAAATGCTCGGAATTAAATAAAAATAACAATTTTGTTTTTCCTTTAATGTGTCCCCCGTCGGTCTTTTATTTATCGATTGAGGCACTACGAAGTCTGCCGGGTCGGCTAGTTAATTAATAATTATTTAAAAAATCAAAACTTTATTATACGTTACGTATAATCCACTAGCTGTATTTTAATAAGGTTGAACACAAAATTGTTGATATACTGAAATAGATATTTGTTACCATTAAACAATCATGTTTCCCAGACCAAAAATGAAAGATAATCCAACTGACACGTGCAACCGAATTGAATCTGAATACAATGTCAGCATAACTAAAGAGTTTGACTTTAGACAAAACAGAGGCCAGTTAATGTTGAACTCTTGGCAGCATGCAAAATTCGTGGCCCGTGATTAAAGGAGTGTAACTACTAGGGGATCTCAGATGAATGGTCGGTTAATATCATTGGCTTGTTCCGCGAGAATACTTGAGTGACAGTCCCCTGTGCGAGGCACAGACTGGAATTGTTTTGGAGAGAAGGATGGGTAAACCAAACTCACATCTACGAAGCAAACACAACAACCGTGTACTTTTCTTTGGAACTGTCAATCAAATCCTGTATATTGTTGTTTGTAGTTTGTGGATTTTTGTAGACGTTACTATTAAAACCAACATACGACAATAAAAGTATTTTGACATTAATATGTTATTGTGCTCTAAATTGAACTTAACTCCACTTTTATGAAAACCTGTGCAAAGTTTGATAGCGTGGCAAATCTACCTCTTTTAGTGCAGTACATACTCCAATACTACTGCTTTATTCTGTGACAGTACGATGTTTATAGCTTGGGAAAACTAGAATGCAATCTCAAGATTTTCTACTTTTCTGTTGTTACGCGCTGGGGTTCGAGATAAAAAAACATTCTACCGAAGTACAAATTAAAAACTGTATTAGCACTTAGAACGCTTAAAACACTTCACAAACACTTTAAAATTCTCAATTCGCTTCTTCCGCTTCGCTGTTACTAACTGACTCTCTCCAACGCTTTTATAGTCGAGACGAAATCCCTAGATTCGTCGAGAATACTCCACACAAGTCCAGTATTGTGTTTCCGCTATCTCACAATAGATGGCGTTGTACTTGTCGAGCGTTCGAGATGTTACTAGATCCTTCGATATTCGTTCGACTATTCGGCGATAGATGGCGTTAATATTAACGGCGTAACACTATCTACATATTGTACTTATTAAATATTAAGAGGTATATAAGTTATTTACAAACTAAACAAGGAATATCATCTTGACATTATTTATTTCATCTAATGGATATATGCTATCGCTTCCTTATCTTAACTATATCACAAATTTATCTTATATTACAGATCGTATTTGAAAATATCTACTATAACTCATGGCTTATTTTCGAAATGAAGTTCATCATATTTCTCGGCTTAACAAACTTAGTCTGTGGTATAAATTTAAGTGAAACGTTTAGAAACAGCGCTTTCGGATATCATGCCAAGGTTGGAATTCCTTTAGCTGAAAGAATACAAAGAGATGAAAATATTTTTTTCAATTCTAGAATTGTTGGAGGTGTACCAGCCGTCGCTGGACAATATCCTTTTAAAGTAAGTTCAAGATCTTTTTCTTCCAATAAATTCTTTCATTAAGCAACAAACAGAGATGTAACTACAGTAATCGACCCACGTACCTCACCCCAGACATGAGAGCTATTTGTAATCTTGACCACATCGATAGTTACAAGTTATATAAAAATGTAAACTATAATATTTTTTTACAAAAATATATTTTTATAAACTTCAGGCCGGACTAATTGGAGATATAATTGGATTTGATGGTGTTAGCGTATGCGGTGGATCCCTTATCCATCCTTCAAAGGTTGCTACAGCTGCGCACTGCTGGAATGACGGTGAAAACCAAGCATGGCGTTTTACCGTCGTGCTTGGTTCTAGCTTATTGTTCAGCGGCGGAACGAGACTTGCTTCAAGCGTTGTTGTCGCTCATCCAGACTGGAACCCTAATTTGTTTAAGAATGATGTTGCTGTGATATATTTAACCTATGAAGTAGAAACATCAAGTGAGTACTATTTTATAAATTAAAGGCTTATTTTTAAATAAGACAACAGTTGACTCGTTGAAAATCATCATCAATTTTCAAATTTAATTTTTCAGGTATCATTGCACCTATCGCTTTACCGTCCGGTCCTGAACTGTTTGAAAATTTTAAAGGAGAAGCTGCAATTGCAATTGGATTTGGTATCACAAGTAATGGTAGGCTTTAAATAGTGACACTTAATTTAAATCTAAATTTAATTAAATCAATAGCTGGAATTATATCTATAAGTTAGTAGAAGGTTTAAAACCAGATTTTATTCATCTAGCTATCCATTTGCAACTAAATATAAACACGGTCGCCTATAAAGTAACTAAATTGTGTTTTTTTTTCCCCAATAGCACCACAGTGAATTAATTGTTCATTACAGATAACGGAATTGCATCTAATCAGTTCTTAAGTCATGTACGCTTGACTGTAATTTCGAACAATATTTGCAATTTGGTGTTCCCATTTATTTTGCAAACATCCAACATCTGTACTAGTGGTTTTGGATTTATTGGTACTTGCGGTGGAGACTCCGGTGGTCCTCTTATTATTTACAGGAATAATGAGCCTATATTAGTAAGTAGCCTTTGTTAATTGCTTATATCTAGGATTAGGAGTACTAGTGTATGCACTAGTACTTGTGTTTGTTGTTTTTTTAGATTTAATCTGTTGTAAATTGAATTGTTCAAATTCGTTAAGTGGTTAGTGCACGTTTAATATGTTAAAGAATAATGCATATAAAATAATATATTATTACAAATAATTCAGACTGATTAGTCAGAGATTAGTCAGGCAAGGCGTTGTTTCATTTGTAAGAAATATATAACTTTGTTTTTTTTTTCCTACCTAAGCTGGTAGCCTAGAGAGGCTATTCCAGCGGAACCTTAACTAGTAGGTGAGCTCACGGGGCTCAAACCTGACGACGATGCTAACACGAACCCTAGCAAGAATCGTGCTTCGCAGAATCTACCACCGGATCGGAAACGTGACCCACTGAGAAGATCCGACGAGAAACTCAGTGGGCTGTGTCTGAGATAACTTTGATACAACACCTGATTAAACAATTGCAATGGTTAGGTTGTCCAAATTTCCAAAGGAAGGCGTTTCTGTCCTTACCCTTTTTCAAACTTTAACAGAAGAGCTTGTGTTTGCCGTAGTGATTTAAATATTTACTTATAGAATCATCATCAGCCTGTATCTCTCCACTGCTGGATGTAGGCCTCTCCCATAGTCCGCCACAATAAACGATCCTCCGCCTTCCGCATCCAATCTCTCCCAGCATATCGCCGCAAGTCATCGGTCCAACGGGCAGGGGGACGCCCAACACTGCGTTTACCGGTACGCGGTCTCCAGTCCAAAACACGTCTGCTCCATCGGCCATCGGTTCTGCGACACGTATGTCCGGCCCATTGCCACTTCAGCTTGCTAACCTTTAGGACTATGTCGGTTACTTTGGATCTTTGACGAATTTCATCATTTCTGACTCGATCCATCAAAGAAACTCCGAGCATACACCTTTCCATAGCACGCTGAGCGACTTTGAGCTTACGGACCAAACCTACGGTTAATGTCCACGTTTCAGCGCCATATGTCATGACCGGCAGCACAAATGTGTGCTTATAGAATAGTAGTTGCGTATTCAAACCTTTTAATCAATTGCATATAATATTCAAAATTTAAACTGTGTTTCTTAAAACACTTCAGTTTGTACAAAGTTTGAAGCAATCACATGTTATTCTAGCTTTCCTAGTTTTTTCAGTGCTCGTACGATAACTTTAAGTAGCTCGTCACTATTGAGCTGTTTTATTCAAAATACGTAACAGAGATTTATTTTCACAGATTGGCATTGCATCATTCGGTTCGGCCTTAGGTTGTGAAATCGGCCTCCCGTCCGTTTACTCCAGAGCAACATCATATGTGGACTTCTTCAACCAACACTTAAAACAATAATTTTAAATTTATAGTTTCTTAAAAAAACATACATTTGATATCATTTCACGTAAGATAAATCTAGAAGTAAATCATAAATATATACTAGAAAATAAGCATTTATTATTTAAAAGCTAAATGAAAATTGTAGTTGTAGTTTTTTTTTGTTTTAAATACATCATAATTAAAAAGGAGGTATGGTAATTACGTATTATATTAAAATCGATATTTATGAGGACTGGTGTTGTGTGTTTTCACTTTTTCAACCGAGTTGCAACTTTGTGCAGTTTTTGTTGGCCCTTCGGCTAAAGTTTTTTCAGAGTACCATGATCGAATGATAACCAGCTATATTATACTATTAGTGTGCAGTATAATGACAATGTTATCCACTTTTTTGCTTTTTATTGCCCTTTTAGGTAGACTAGCATACGGCCCACCTGATGGTGAGTGGTAACCGTCGCCCATGGACGTCAGAAATGCCAGGGGCAATGCCAATTTGCTGCCTACCGTAAAGTATTGTCCACAAACCTCGTTTGAAGCAGGACATTTCCTAGCGCTGACACTTACAAAAAGTCAGATCAAAACATGCAACTAGTTAATAAAATAAAGTAATATGTGAAAAACAAAATATTTATTTATTCGTATTCTATACTACTTTTAATCGATTGAGTTGAAATTGTTAGCACTTCGGAAAAGTTATCTGTATATTACGATATACTGTTTATAAATTGCCAAGTGGTCTGAACAAAATGGTGAATGTCATCTAGATATTTTGTGACAGAGAAACGTGGCCGGGATTCTCTAGTTTAAAAATATAAATAATATGAGCCACTCATTCAAAAATTTTATAAATTCGATCGAGACGCAATCCTAAACACAATCTTCAACGTTTATCGCCGTGTATGTTAAGATAATAAACGAAAGATAAAATTGTGAATAACGTTCTGTTGTTAGTTGAATTTTATTTTTTACTAGCGACCCGCCCTCGCTTCGCTTCGGAAACATTAAGTTTTATTATTGATGATAGTTGAGTCCCGTGCTGTTACCCGCGTCGTCGTATTGTCGTACCGCGGGTGACGCCGCGAGGCAAAGCTAGTCTAAAAAAGTAGTTGCTCAATTGTAAAAAAATTCTCATCCGTAAACAAAAATTTTCTATGACCTCCCTTTGCGTACCGCTTCAGTAGTTGTTTCGATTTTACCACCCTATTCTCTTTTAAATTATCAGTTAAGAAATGACCAGTACGTCTCTTATAGGCTGCAAGTCCTAAGTCATCTTTTAAAATACGCTACATGGTTCTAGGTGCTATCTTCATCTCCCGAGATAAAATCTTTTGCTTTCGGACAGCATTTCTTCGAATTCTTTCCCTTACTGCTTTGACCACCTTTTTCGTACGAACACTACGTGGACGGCCAGATCTTTTTCTGTCACAAACAGAGGAGGTCTTATTGCACCTATTAATAGCCCGGTACACAAACATTTTACTAATACCAAGCGTATGGAGAGTTTTAAAAATTGCATTTGGCTCCATGTCTACTTTGTGTAATGCAATCACAGCGATTCGGTTCTCTTTATCACCCCACTCCATTTTAATATCGCAAAATATTGTACAATGTATTGGAGCCAAAATGAGAAAACTCAATGAGCAATCATATAAAAATGACAGATTCCAAATTCAAATGTAATATTTTGTTTATTTTTAATTGTAACAGTATTTATGGCCAGACTAAGTATATATATTCATCATTCTCGCTCACGACTCGGTCGTGCGCGGACGTGCTTTCCGATCCGTGGCCCGCTTGCGAGCTGCGTCTCTGAACTCACAGTTGTGCTCGACAGTGTAGTGACCGTGAATACATCGTGCTTACAATTCAGTAGTGCGGACGTGCCGATCCGTTGGTCGCTTGCGATTTGCGTCTCGGAGTCCATTTTTGTGCGCTAAAGTGTNTTCATTGCGACCTGCCTGCTACTGGTGGCTTACGGCAGTGCTTTTACACTGCCTTTGCATGAAAATCCGGTATACGGTTACCTTACTAAGTATGGTGTACCAGAAGCAGAGAGGATTCGCAAGGCTGAAGAGGCAGGACTGAGTAATACCAGAATTGTAGGTGGCTCTCCTGCCACTCTCGGACAGTTTCCTTATCAGGTCAGTTCCATTTAAATATCATACCTCAACAGTTGAGATCTTAAGTTGCAACTGGTGCCCGTGATTACGTTGCGAATACCGCTTTTCTTGGAGATTTATTTAAACTTGTTTCTCAATTCTGTAACGTTTATACTAAAATGAAGCTTACTGGTGGCAGGACCTCTTGTGAGTCCGCGCGAGTAGGTACTGTCACCCTGCCTATTTCTGCCGTGAAGCAGTAATGCGTTTCGGTTTGAAGGGTGGGGCAGCCGTTGTAACTATACTGAGATCTTAAAACTTTTATCTCAAGGTGGGTGGCGCATTTGCGTTGTAGATGTCTATGGGCTCCAGTAACCATTTAACACCAGGTGGGCTGTGAGCTCGTTCACCCATCTAGCAATAAAAAAAAAATGAAACATGTCGTTTGACGTCCAAATCTCATCTGAACCCATGGGCAAAAAATAGGGGCACCAAAATTTTAATTAAAAGTACACCGTTTAAGGGTGGTCTACTAATCACCATCGTCGTTGATGAACAACCACGCACGGGCGTCTGCGGAGCTTCGCTTGTTACCACTAACAGACTATTGACAGCTGCTCACTGCTGGTTCGATGGCACCAACCAAGGCACGAGCGTAACGGTCGTTCTTGGTTCCGTGACACTCTTCAGCGGTGGCACCAGAGTTGAGACCAGTTCGATTGTAATGCATCCGAATTGGTCTCCTGCTACCATTCGTAATGATGTGGCCGTCATTTACCTACCCAGTCCCGTTACTTTGTCTAGTAAGTTTATTACCTATTCTTCTTTTAATGTATTTTTACGGATGAAAGTCTTGAAAGTGGAACAGCGTCAGAGGCACTGCTAACTTATTGTTTTTGGGGACTAGATCAATCAGCTCACAACTCGCTTCGTATTGACGTCTGGTGAATTCGTGTTGAGCGATGCACTGGTGTTCGAATCCCAGGCGGGTACGAATTTTTGTAATGAAATACGTACTCAACAAATGTTCACGATTGACTTCCACGGTGAAGGAATAACATCGTGTAATAAAATCCAAAACCCGCATCGATCCAGTAGTTTCGGAGCCTATTCAATACAAACAAGCAAACAAATCTTTCCTCTTATTATAATTATAAGTATAGATTACCGAAATTGTATTTTCACACTAAACGCCTTTTGTCGAAGTTTAAGTGTTTACTGTGCTACATTTGTAATAAAAAAAAAAAACATTTTAGATACAATCAATACGATCGCTCTTCCAAGTGGACAGGAATTACAAGAAAACTTTGTTGGATCCTCGGCAGTCGCTTCTGGCTTTGGTCTGACCAGCAGCTGTGAGTATATTTAACTAAAAAACTACAATGGATATACAAAATTTTAATATCACTTTAACAAATTACAAAACCGCAGTAGGATTGAACCAAAATTTAGTTATTTCTTTGACGGTCGTCTCGCACGACAAAAACGTTAGGGTGTATTTTAAATTTTGATTCAGTTTATGTCTTGTTTTACAGCTGGATCTATAACGACAAACCAAGTCCTCAGTCACGTGAACCTCGACGTGATAAATAACTTTGTTTGCACATTTGCTTTCCCCTTCGTCTTGCAATCTTCAAACTTATGCACAAGTGGACGCGGTGGTGTCGGCACTTGCCGTGGTGACTCCGGTGGCCCTCTTGTTGTTACAAGAAACAACCGTCCTATCTTGGTGAGATTCGCACTTTCATAAGCGTAAGACGTGCCTAAAATAAAATATAACAATATTTTGAAAACAAAGCCCGAAGAAAAGCATTTAAAATAGGTAACGCGAGTACTGAGATTTTTTAATAAAAGATTTTTCTAATTCTATTACTGGCGTATTCCTCAAATGCTAACATAGAATACGTTGTTTATATTTAAGAAATATATTATTTGTATCTTTATTTTGTTTTCGTAAATCGAAATGACTAATTTCTTAGATTAGAGAAAACGCCTCGTTCCCATAAGAATTCATTTATAGAAACAAAATAAAAACAAGGACATGTGGCTGCAATACATAATGTCATGAGTAATTATGATCGTATGATATAAATTATTGGCACTAGTATCATGACGGAAGCAAGAAACCGGGTAGTACTTTGGACGGATTGAACGCAGCCCAAATTTCCCCTCTCCATAACTTCTAATCGAATTGTAGTTTTATTCTTCTTCATCTAAACTATTAAGGTGCATTTTAATAAAGGCATAAAAATAATTATTGTGCGTATTAAATATGGTACGTATTTGGTCATAAACTTACTATGATTAATGTTTTTCAGATTGGTATTACATCATTTGGCTCTGGTCTCGGTTGCCAAGTGAACTTGCCTGCCGCATATGCCCGAGTTACATCGTTCATGAATTTCTTCAATCAACACCTTTAAATGTTATCGTTGAAATAAATAAAGTACTTAAACACGTTTTTATTTATTTATTGCTATTTATTGCATACCGCAACCTGCACAGATTCGTTATTAATCAATAATCAAAGAAAGAAACTAGAAAAACGTATAAGGATATTTTTTTTCTTACTTTCAAATGAGTTACTTACTCAAAAAAAACTTACAAAATCAAGTAAAGAATACATCTTCATTCAATCATACATCTTCTTCATTCAACACTATCTATTACCATTAAAACAAATTTCTTAACTATGTATTATAATACAAAATAAAACTAAATGTATTTAAAATTTGATTTGAAGATAATTTAGTTTTGAAAATCACAAGCATTTTTGATGAATTTTAGAATGTCCCGTTTCAACTAAGTATTTTGATTTGAATGTAATTAATTAATCCATTGCTATCTTAATTCGTCGGGCATGAATAATTATAACAGCAAATAAATCACTGATATAAATTATCAACCTAGCAAATAAAT